GATCAGGGTTCTGATGGGATTTCGAGCATTGCAGCCCACCTTTAATCTTCTTATTGGTTTGTTTTGTCAATCAGATTATGAGTAAGGGCCAGGTGACTGCCACATTACATTACATCACTGCCAAACCACTGAGAATCACCATCCAACCAAGTTGATTCATATTTCGAGGGGACACAATTAAATAAATGACAGGGAGCAGTATAGTTCGTAACACAGGTGGGGAGCATTTTTGTGGAGGACCGGGCAGTGTTTCCTTCTGTTACGTATAGAGTCGCTATGAGTTGGAACTTTATCAATGGTGCTTAACAACAATAACAAAGGTTAAGGATGCTCCCATCATACTAAAAGATGATTATCCACATGCACCTCACCAGATGGCATACACAGAAATCAAATTGACTACATCTGTGGAGAGAGACGGTGGAAAAACTCCATATCACCAACAAAAACAAGGCCAGGGGCAGACTGACATTGTTTTGGAACAGACCATCAATGGCTTATATGCAAGTTCTGGCTGAAGCTGAAGAAAATGAAAACAAGTCCATAAATGCCAAAATATGACCTTGAACACACCCCACCTGAATCATCTCAAGAACAGATTTGATGCATTAGACACATGACTGAAGACCATAAGAAGAAGAGTTGTGGAATGACATCAAGAACATCATACAGAAAAAAAAAGCAAAAGATCATTAAGAAAACAAGAAAGAAGAAAAAGGCCAAGATGTATGTCAGAAGAGACTATGAAACTTGCTCTCCATTGTAGAGATGATGAAGCAAATGAAAGAAATGAGAAGTCACAAGAGCTGAGCAGAAAATGTCAAAGGACAGCTTGACAAGACAAAGTCACATATTAAACGGAAATGTGCAAAAACCTGGAGTTAGAAAACCAAAGGGAAGAACATGCTCAGCATTTCTCAAGCTGAGGGAACTGAAGAAAAACTTCAAACCTTGACTTGCAATATTGAAGGATTCTATGAAGGACTATAGAAGAATTGATGCATTTGCATTACAGTTTTGGAGGAGAATATTGAAAGTGCCATAGGCTGCCAAAATAACAAACAGCTCTGTGTTGGAAGAAGTACAGCCAGAGTGCTCCTTGGAGGCCAGGATGGCCAGACTGCATCTCTCATACTTCAGACATGTTGTCAGGAGGGACCAGTCACTGGAGAAGGCTATCATGTTTGGTAAATGGAGGGTTGGAGAAAAAGACAATCAATAAGATGGATTGGTACAGTGGCATCAGCGATGGGCTCAGGCATAGCAATGATTGTGAGGTTGACCCAGGACCAGGCAGTGTTTTGTTCTGTTGTACATAGGGTTGCTATGATTCGGCACCGACTCGATGGCACCTAACAACAACAACAATGGACAAAGTATTGAATGATGCAGAAAGCATCAAAAGAAGATGGAAGGAATGCACAGTCACTGTACCAAAAAGAAATGATTGATGTTTGGCCATTTCAAGAGGTAGCATATGATCAAGAACAAATTGTACTGAAGGAAGAAGTCCAAGGTCCAAGTCATTGGTCGGAAATTGATGGAATGCAAATTGAAATCTCTCAACAAATACATGTGGCACTGGAGGTCTGAGTTCAATACATCCAAATGCATTGGTAAGGGGAAAGGTAGAATCCCCAGTGAATTGTTTTCATCTTGTCTAAATAGGTCTGGTGAAAGGAGATGGGGATAAGAAACTTACGATTCAATAGTAAAAAGTTGTTATCTTGACTAATTGAGACTGTCACAACTGTAAAAGTTGAGGTTTTATATCAAAAACAAGAGAATAGTTAATCTCACTGTACAGGAACAGAGGACCCTAGGACCATCAAGGGAGAGAGCACGAGCAGAATGTGGGACCCTATCCAGAGAAGCAGCGACACCATAGATGGAGACAGAGATGAGGACACGGAGACAGAGAGCAGCTGAGGACTCCAGACTCATGGTAAGAGAAAGGCTGTGTGCTGGCAACCAGGAGGCAGGCTTGCAGAATGTGCCCTTTGGTTGTTTAAATGATTATATATTCATGAGTGTATTTGTGTACATCCCCACCCCCACCCCCCAAAAAAACCCAACAAGACAAAAAACAGAGGGAATAGAAGCAAATACTATTGAATGATGATGCACGGAGGAGATAGTAATCATTGCAATGAAACAATGAGTGTAAAACTGATGTTCTCCTGTGTAAACTATCACTCAATTCACAATAAAAACGTATTAAAGAACGTGTTGGTGAATTTCACTCTCTTGCTCTGGGTCTTGCACCTGGCTCATCCTGTCTAACCTCAGGTTGTGGAACTTGCAGCCTCAGGTATCCACAGTCTGTCGTCTGACTGCTGATTTCGGTTCCTCAGCTCCTGAGACTATGTGGGTGAAGAGAATCCTCCAGACTGACCTCTGAACGATGGATTTGAGACTCGCCAGCTTCTACATCTGTGTGAGCCATTTCCTTGAACAGTTGTTGAGTTCTGTGAGACCTTGCAGGGTACTGCAGAACCCTGGAATGTGAGGGAGGGGAGGAGCGGGGATTGATATCAAGGATTATGGCGGGTATAACACTATGCAACTCTGATAGCGTAGTGGTTACGAGTTGGGCCCTAGGATAGCAAAGGCAAGAACTTGGTGCCTACGGGGCTTCCAGAGCCCTGTCCCCAGCTGGGGAGGTACCAGTGACCTGGCCCTCACCCCTCCCACAGGACCCTCCTCCATCTCCAGTCACCATGTTTATGGATCCAGTCTCTTGAAATGGAACTGGTTCCTTCTTTAGGCACGCATCTAATTCTTCCCATATCCACCTGAACCTCCATGGCTACTTAATGCTTCAACATTGCACCAAACCATGAGCTCTGTGCCCACATCTTTCCCCCTTCACAATGGCCTCCACTCTGCCCTCAGGTGAACCAAGCAGCAAGGGGCATCTTTGTGGATCCTGGTAAGAGAAGCGTCTCCTGCATCGCATTGAAGTGTCAAGAGGGGCACTTAATTTTGCTATTTGGAGATGAGTGAGGACCAGTGGCTACTGTCAGCAGCATCCAAGATGGTACCCAAGCATCCTCACCTTTGGGTCCTTTGGGTATTGAAACTCTTGTGCTGTCCCCTCCGTACAGTACAGGGTTGGTCTGAGTGACCAGTAGTATAGGAGAGAAGTGATAGTCACTGTCAGGAAGTTTATTAAAGGGGTCTCTGTCTTAGGTCACCTGCTCTGGGGAAGGCGGTTGCTGTGTTGTGAGCAGCCTGGAGATCTCCAGGGAACTTCCTAGGTCTCTCAGCCCAGTCACAGTGTGAACCCTCTTGGAAGAGGACCTTCCACACTGGCTGCACTTTCAGATGTCTGCAGTAGCTGCTCAGTGTCTTGACTGCAACCTCATGTGAGATCCGGAACCACAACCAGCCTGCTAGTCTGCTCCTGGATTCCTGCCATGGGAACACCGAGATCATGAAGGTTTGTTTTCAGCTGCTACATTTTGCGGCGACTTGTCATGCAGCATCGGCTAACGGCTACACTGACACCACTAATGATTAGCAGGGACAGCGACACTCTTCCTTGAGCATATTCTCCTCAGATGATGTCTTTGACAGTCTCATCCTCAGGAGAAGCTCTCTGTGTCTTGTGGGTGGGGAGACTGGGACAGCCGTGGGCATTAAGAAGTGGGCAGGGACTGAATCCAGCGTGTGCTGCAGGTTGGTGAAGAACCACCATCGTTGGCTTCCTGGTCTGCTGTAGGTGAGTCCCTGAGCAACAACCCTGCAGTGAGCAACTGTAGGTGGGAAGACAGAGGCCTGGCCTTCTCAGGACCCAGAAGGCAATGGAACAGCGGGGTCCAGACACCTCTAGGTTCCCCCAGAAGCCTTCGGGAGGAAAGCGTGTGGCTCGCATGTCTTGATAGAAGACCATTTCTAGCTAGAGGTGCTGTTGAGCTCGACACCAACTTCAATGGCCTCAAACCATGCCTATGGCTCTGATGTCAGCAGAAAAACAGCACACAGGTGGGCACGGAGCAAAGAAAGGCACAATTTATTGGTTACACAGACTGACGCCCACAGGAAGGCAGCGCCATGCTCTCCCGCACTCCCTGGTCTGAGTTTCTACAGTGAGTCTGTTAGGTGAAAAAAAACAAAGTAAGAAAACATACCACCAATCTAGTCTCTTAATAACCTAGGAAACAGGGCCACCGGATGGATTTTGGGGAGGAGAAAAGACTGTCTTATTTCCAGAGCCTGGAATTAGCAGTGTCCCTCTCTGGCATCCAAGCTGGAGGACACAGCTTTGGGGAGCCACAGCAAAGACCCTTCCATTCACATGAGGACATCTGAGTGGGAGGCTCGGGCCAGTCTGTGTCTACCCAGAAGGCCTGGCATCCCTGTCCCTGGGCCGAGGCTGGATCTCTGCACAGACGTGTAGAAGCTGATTGGTCTTCCTCTTCCTTCTAGCCGAGGAGGAACCAAGGAAAACCGGATAGGTGCCCGCTTTAAGTTTCCACTAAGCCTTGAACCAAAGTGGTTGGCATCACTGAGCTAGACGGGGCTTGGCTCATCAGACCCCAAACAAACCACCGAGACTCCTCAGCTTCCAAAAGGCCAGGCCTTTGTCTCCCTCCCCGAGAGCAATGACCCATTTAATGCTTTGTCCAAACCACGAAGGACGGACACCGTTTTGAAATGTTGGGTTTGGAAATTTGGGTTTAGTTGATGAGGGAGACTCAATGCTGAGGCTGTTCTGCCGATGTTCACAAGTACTTAGCAAGGTACTTGGCACACAGTGGGTGCTTACTACGTGCAAGCTTTATTATTATTATTATTAATATTATTATTATTAGGTATCTATACCCCAACCTTTGAATCTGCACTCGAGGTTTGTTTCAAAATGGCAACCTGAGTAAACGCTGTTGGGTCCCAAGTACCAAGGTTGAGCTGGGGCCCAGGGTGTTCGCTCTCCTCCCTCCTGGACCGCACAGCACAGTTCCCAGCCAGCGGCTCTGCGGATCGCACAGAAGCTAGTCCTACTCCCGGCCACTGGGAAGCCTTGCAGTGACGTCCTGCAGGGGGTCTGCTGGGCTGCTTGCTGCTCCCTGGTGGCTCCTGATGGTTTCACTGCAGGGAGAACAGATGGTTGTGAGGGTCTCCTTACCTCTGGGCCCCAAGAACTACAGGTGAGCCTGGGTTCCTAACGTGCCATAGGTTCAACCAGGCCAGCACAGACTTTACATGTGTTTGATTAGAGAAACTCATGTAAATAAAATGGGAGCGTGGTGGCACTGTAGGATAAGCACTGCACTGCAAACCACAAGGTCGGCAGTTCGAGCCCACCAGTTACTCCATGGCAGAAACAGGAGGCTTTTCTGCTCCCACAAAGATTCACAGCTTCAGAAACCTTACACAAAATCGTTATGAGTCAGAACCGACTCGACAGCACTTAACAACAACAACAACATAACTATAGTAAGATAAAAACCCACAGCTGTTAAGTTGCTTCTCGTATGGGTTTCTGAGGCGCTGGTGGGTTTGAATCTTACAGTTAGCAGTCCAGTACTGAAGTCTACAGCGCCACACCAGGACTCTGCTTAATGATGGAGTCTGTCCCTGGACCTGAAATGAGGCTGAGTGTGGACAGTGCCCCTCCGTTAGCCTTTGCAGAGACAAGAGGCAGCATCAGGGTGGCCTGGGCTCCAACCCTATGTGTACATCACTTAACAGAGCCACTCCTCCCCTGACCCAGGGCCACGGTTTCTCAGCACCCTGCCCAGGACATGCATGCACTCGCACACATGCACGCACGCACACGTGCCCGCACAGTTACCTGCATGGCAGTCCTGCCGAGCGGCCCCTCCTCGGGCCGAAGTTTGCCATGGTGTGGCAGCTCGGTGTTGTCACGGTAGTCCCGGCCCTTGGAGTGTTGCAGGTGGAGCACAGCTGGACTCTTGATGGGCAGGGGTGGCCGGGGCTGCTGGCTCATCTCTGACCGGGACGGCTTCACGGGCCTCTTGGCTGGCACTGGGGCTGGGGGACTGGCCGGGGGCTTGGGCTTCCCTGGGTTCTTTTCCTTGCCGACTGCCGCCTTGCCCTCTGAAGCTGAGGATGAGCAGGTGAAGGAGCGAAGCCGGGGCGTCGGGCTGAGGAAGGGCGTGGGGGTCTTGCTAGCTCCCTTGGAGCTCTCGGCCTCCTGGACTTTGGTGAGCAAGATGGTGGGGGAGGCGATTGTGGGGTCCAGACAGGGCGGGGGTTCCTTCCTCAGCATCTTGGGAGATTCTTGTTCTTTCCTGGAGACCAGCTTAGGGAAGGAGCTCACAGACCCATACAGCGGGTTCTCAAACATCTCCGGCTCCTCCTGCAGCGAGGGCTCGGCTGCGTTCTTCCCCAAGTCGCTGGGCCTACAGTCATGGGGAAGAGGACAGAGCCATGGAGAAGAAATGCATGTTAGGAAGACGAGATGCTGTGTTGGTACCCTTGGAGCCAACCTCGGTTTTGTCTGGGACCATTTCCTCCACTGCATAAGTGAGCAAGCGGGACACTGCTGAAGGTTTTGTGGGAAATGTAACCCCAAAATCATTCACTCAAGACGATTCCAACTCAGCATAACAAACCTGTACGAGGTTTCCATAGAGCATCTGTTGGTTTTGAACCACTGACCTTGTGGTTCGCCTATCCTACAGCACCACACCATTACAGTTGCTAAGGGCCATAGAGTTGGTTCTGACTCATAGCGGCATAGATAGAGTTTCCAAGGAGCAGTTGGTGGATTTGAACCACTGACTATGCTTATGCTATAGCGCCACACCAGTGCTCCATTAGGGCTTCACACTCACTAGGGTGCATGAAAAAAGTAAAAACAACCCCCCCCCTAATAATCCCAAAACAGAAACAAGAAGAGTTGGCAAGGATGTGGAAAATAGGACCCTATACCCATTGCTGGGGGAGTCCTGGTGTGATGCTGTGGGCTAATTCGCCAGACTGCAAAGTTGACGGTTCAAGCTCACCAGCTGCTCCTTGGAAACCCTATACAGGGTTGCTATGGGTCAGAATTGACTTGACGGCACTTGACAACAACAACACCCATTGCTAGTGGGAATATAAAATAGGATTAACTCCTGTGAGAATCAACTGATCAGTTCCTCAAATATTAGACATAGAATTACCTACCATATGACCTAACAAGTCCACTCAAAACTTGACAGGAGAAATTCAAATAGATACTTGGACACAAATGTTAATAGATAGCATCACTACTCACAATATCAAAATGCTGTTGTTGGCATTCAGTGCTGTTGAGTTGCCTCTGATTCACATCGACCCCTGTGTACAACAGAACCAAGCACTGGCTGCTCCTGGGCCTGCCTCACGATCATGCTTGCGCTCAATGTGATAGCTGCTGAGTCAATCCATGGTGAGTAATTTTTTGCCAAGAGGTACAAAAGCTCAATGTCCATTCATGGATAAATGTGTTACAGACGTACAACGGCATATTACATACACAAGCATAAAGGGAATTGATCAAAAATGAAATTGAACGCATCAACATTGATATCTTAGGTATTAGTGAGCTGAAATGGACTGATATTGGCCGTTTTGAATCCGACATTCACATGGTTTACTATGCAGGGAATGACAAATTGAAAAGGAATGGTGTTGCATTCATCGTCAAAAAGAACATATCCAGATCAGTCATGAGGTACAATGCTGTAAGTGGATAATATCCATGCGCCTACAGGGAAGCCCAGTTAATACCACTATTATTCAAATTATGCACCAACCACTAAAGCCAGTGAAGGTGAAATAGAAGAATTCTACCGACTTCTTTAATCTGAAATCGATCAAACATGCAATCAAGATGTATTGCTCATTACTGGTGATTGGAATGCAAAAGTAGGGAGCAAAGAGGAAGGACCAGTAGTTGGAAATTTTGGACTTGGTGATAGAAATGATATTGGAGAAGGAATGATAGATTTCTGCAAGACAAATGATTTGTTTATTTCAAATACTTTCTTTAGACAGCACAACAGACGACTATACACATGGACCTCACCAGGTGGAACACATAGAAATCAAATTGACTACATCTGTGGAAAGAGAAGATGGAAAAGCTCCTATCATCAGTGAAAACAAGGCCAGGGAGACTGTGGAACAGACCATCAATTACTCATATGCAAATTCAAACTGAAGCTGAAGAAAATGAAAACAAGTCCACGAGAGCCAAAATATAACCTTGAATTTATCGCACCTGAATTTAGAGACCATCTGAAGAACAGATTTGATGCATTAGACACTAAAGACCTAAGACTAGAAAAGTTGTGGGATGACATCAATAACATCATACAAGAAGAGAGCAAAAAGTCAGTAAGAAGACATGAAAGAAGGAAAAGGTCAAAATGGATGTCAAAGAGACTCTGAAACTTGCTCTCTAGTGTAGAGAAGCTAAAGAAAATGGAAGAATTGAAGAGGTCCAAGAGCTGAACAGAAAATTTCAAAGATCAGTGCTAAACTAGGGATAGGCTTGGGCAGACTGGATGGTTGGTCACTCTACTTGAGTCTGGGGCAATGGTAGGAAGACATGGAAAGTGCTAAAAACATGCCCTTTTCTGTGGCCTTTGCTCAGGTGGAGCTGGGGTTCAGAGTAGTGGACTGCAGGCAGGACTGAGAGCTACCAGGTTCTTGCCTCTAATGACGGTCTTGGTGGGAAGTGAGCTTGGAGAATCCTGATCCAGGGAACCTTCCATGAGATGTCCCCATACTAAAGCTATCACTTCTGGGGGCTGGAGGAGATGTTCCCCAGCCAGTACAAGCTGCACTCAAATAATTAAGTACAAGATATATATATTTAGGAAACTTAAAAACATCTCACTCAAAGAATTAAACTTATTTTTTGGTTGTTGATACAAGCACCATTTCCTGGGGTCGCCAAAGAACCATTCTTGTTTATCAAGAATATCAAGGCTGTGTCACAGACTAAGCTAAGTCCTTCAAAAA